AGATCTTTTATGAACACATAGGAATCTCTTGTTGAGGTCTCTTCACTTTTAATGTTGGTGTGCTAGTTAAGAATTTATTCTAGAAGGTAAAATTTAAAAAAAAATCACTACAGAAGCATTTTAAGCACAAATTCATAATAAATTTCACTCACAGTTACATAGATTTTACCTGTTGATTTTTTACTACAAACTTTACAAAAACTTTCTAGTTTCGAGTCTTCCCTGCCTCAAACACATTAATTTCCTTCAGGTGGTAGAAATAAGCTTCTGAAGTTCATCAGCATAATTTCTTAGCTGAAAGACAAGAGCTGTGAATGTACTTTATATAGAAAAAAAATCCCAAGGCATTAATTACACCAAAAAATTTATAATCTCACATTTTTACAGTGGCATGAGTCAAAGAGTTCTTAAAATTGTTTTCTCCTGCAGACAATTTCTGGCAGGAAGCATTGAATTTTATTAGCAAAGGCTTCCAAAAAACCTACACACACAGTGCAATATGCCTTTGTTTCCTGCTTTTTTTTAAATCTGATTTTTCTAATTTAAGCAGCAATGCTGCACATGGCCAACTATTCCCATGTCAATTTGTAGACTAGGTGCAGATCTGCATAAAATCAAACAAAATCATTGCCAAGCCAAACTGGCTGAAGGCCTCTCATACCTTCAGAATGTGATTCTGCGGCAAAGAAATAAAAGTCTTTGCATGTGTCTACTGCACTTTGTAGCTGAAAGCAGGGGAACAGCTATTGGTGATATCAGATGTTTGCCATCACTATAGAAATTGACCCCATAAGCAAACAGACCAAGACAAAAAGAATCCTGTAGAGGAACATTAAGAGCAGCCATGCTAGGGTGTAAAAACAAACAAACAAACAAACAAAAAACCCCCAAAACCTAACCCCTTACGACACATTCAAATTTATGAATCATACCAAACTCAGCACAAATAAAGTTCTACGTAAACAGGTAATGTTGTAGGCCTATTTGGTGTCTTATCAATAGGATCAACTACATCAAGTGTTAAAGTCTCACGTTATGAGTAATTAAGTGTTCCATTTGGTGTACCTTAACTACCCCTAATTTCCCTTGGGCTTAGTATGCTCGCTGCGTGTTGTGTTCTATGAGCTGGGGACAGCCAGCATGTCTATTTTTAGCTGTGACACATTAAACAGCATACACAAGGAAAGACGCAATAGCTATTGAGCAAGGATACAATGTGAGTGAATAAACATCTTCCACTGACTTGTCACCCGTTCGGGAAAAGTTACTTGTTATTTCCATTTTCTCAATGTTTACAGAAGAAATGTACAGCTTTGCTAATTAAAGGCTTACAAAGCTTAGATTGGAATTTTCAATTTACAGCCCCATAGATTGCATTTAGCCTGCCAGAACAATTAATTCAACCTGTTTCTCAGGAAGCCTCAGGTTTTTCCTATCACACTTACACATCTTAAACTACACCACTGTCGTGGTTTGGCCTCAGCCAGCAACAAAGAACCACGCAGCCGCTCACTCCACTCCCACAGCCGTGGGGAAAAAAAAAAAGCAAATCGTCAGGGCAAAACTCGTGGGTTAAAATAGTGCAATTTAACAGAACAGCAAAAGGGAAGATGAAAACAAAACAGTAACACTGATAAAGGGATATGAAGATGCAATTACAGTACCGCCGCGAAGCGCACCCACCGGACCCGCATCGCTACAGCCCACCCCCAATTGGCGACTGCTCTCCTCTCCCGGGCTAGCACCTCTTATAGCCCGGGCATGGCTCATGTGGGATGGAATAGCTGCCCCCTGCCAGCTCCTGGGGGAAATTAACCCCATCCCTGCCACAACCAGGACAACCACATAATCTGTTTCTCAAGTTTTATGCTGGTATTTCTATCAACATTATCATTATCACCTGCAAGGCTAAGCTGTAATTACTAAAATGTCCAATGCTGAACAATCCTAGTAGCCGGTATATACACATTCCACCTTATCAAGCCCTTATCACATCATCTACTGTGTTAATTAGTACAAGGTCACAAATCCTTCTTCTAGATAAAAAGCTACTAACTAAAACTAAAACTAACTAAAAACTACTAACTTTAGAATCCAATACAACTGATCTCCTAAGTCCAAGCGGCAAAATTTCTCACTACCTGGGCATCATAACAACCAAGTTTCTTTCTGTTTGTTTGCTATGATTTTAGTACATTAAGTAGTAAAATTTAGGCAATTGCCATCAAAATCATGTAATTTTCTTTTACAGGCAAATGGATGGCACAAATGATGAGGGACATTGGAAAAGACTTAGCACCTCTGAAGTTCCAGTCAATATACAAACTATGATAAATTGGTGCTGTAATATGGGATGCCAAAAGCCATTTTCTTGGCATCTACTGTAAGAAACAGTATTTGAAGAGTGGAAGCAATACTTAGGAATTCTACTTGAGAGATGTATCATGTGTCGTTCAGGTTTTAGAGGTTCATGATTTGCATCAGTCATGGGGGAAAAAAAAAAAAAGAAAAAAAACAGAGGCTGGAAATAATTGAAAGGAATGTACTAGACTGTGGAGTTTCAATTAAGTATAGTTTCAAAAGCTAGTTTCATAGTTCATATAGTTTTAAGCTAGTTTCAAAACACTGTGCCAGATACAGTAAATAATAAAAAGTAACTTGCAAATCAATGCACTTTTAGAAACGGGAAACTGCTATCCCACCATGATAGAAAAGTAGTTCCTGAAAACCTTTGTGGTCTCAAAGTTGGCATGAAGATCTCTTCTGAAAAAGTCTAACCTTTTAAATTTTAAGTGAATTTGCAGTTTTGTTTTCACTGAATAGTATTTTGGAGGGTTATTAAAATGTAAATATTAACCTGTATTTATAAACTGTTCTCTTAGTTGCAGGTTCTGTCTTTGCATTTACATGAATCAAAAATAACTGAAGAGGTGTTGGCTCAATTTTCCATCAACACATCAAGGAATATGGCAAAGGCAGATATGCAAGGGAAAGGAACACAATAAGTACAGGGTTGGTTAAAAAATCATAACAAAAGTGCAGAAGTCTTTATATACAATTTAAAATTTCAGTGAAAGTTTGTATTCAGCATTATGCTACAGAAGCTGGAAACCGTCAACAGTAGGAAGTACTAAGTGGGTAGCATCAATGAATCTGTGGACCTACTTCAATTTCACTCCCTTGTATTCATTCACATACACCAGTAATGTTTGCTTTTTTCCATCTCTTCCATCAATACCAAAACCGCTTTTATAATGACAGCCATTGCTTTCTTCATTTCACATTTGTGATCAGTGCTAAACATATTGGTTACACTTAATGGCAGAGTTCTGTTTAGCACTAAATCTCCTCATTTCAAGTTCCCAGTTACACAATATTCCTTCCACTTACAAACTCCTGCTCCTGTTATTTTGGGAGTCTCTGCATTGAATAAGTAAATGCTGTTTTCCAGTAACATAAAAAAATCAGAGCAAATAATTTTCCTTTTTTCAGTTCACATTTGAAATGTTATCAGCAACACAGTTAAAGAAGTTTATATAGACAGTGGTGGTCTTACATTTTATGCATTGAATATTTCTCCTGGTATGTTGATACAAGACATCTTGTTGCACCAAGAGCAAGGTATTTGATTCAAGAGGAAAAAAAAACGAAAAAAATCAGGCCAGGAGACACGGCATTCTTTTAGACCAATAGATAAGACAGTTACCATCTATTGGGACTGAAAATGGGTGGATGTGCTTCTGTTAATGCAAGTTGGCCATTCATCGTCAATTTATGATGCAAGTTATCTGAAACAGTAAGAGACGTAAACAGAAGGAAAGCCTCAAATCTTCAAGGCCTACACCAGAACACCGGTAACACTCCGAGACAGACTGCAAATTAAACCTCAGCCTTCCCAGTAGTTTCATCACAACAAGATTACAAAGGCTTACTGGCAGCTTAAACTGAGAGCTGCAGCCTAGCTAGCAGGGTGAACTGAGGCTGCTTGAAGTCAATTTTCCTTCTGCAGCAGGAACTGCAGGAGAAAGACAGAGATGAATGCTCATCACATCTATACCTCACACCATGCCTAAGAAATACAATCCTGTGTTTGCATTTTTTGGTCGTTGCTGTTTTCCAAAGCCAGAAAATAGTTCAGCCTTTACCAAAAAGGCATTTTATTAACTCGTACTCTGCTAAAAAAGCATCTTTTTGGCCACAGCTCTTCCCAGAATAGACAGTATAAAATACAGACCCAGTACAGCCTGGGAGCACTATCAGACAACAACGGAACAGTTACATGGTAAGACATGAAAAGAAACTAGGAACAGGTTGCATTATGAAGGACTATGGCTAAAAAGATAATTTTAATAGCATATGGTTTTAAAATAAGGTTTTATGTACATGCAATACACATTAAACAAATACATATTTACAAAAGTTGCAGGTATGATCCTTTTTTTTTTCCCCAAACTGTAAATACAGAATGTTCTGGTGACTTTTTTTAAAGACCTAAAATAAAATAAAGCCTATACACATATAGGTGTTTGCATATTGTAAACTAGAAGAGGCTGCCCACTGTTCTTTTCAAAAGAAAGAATTGTTACAAGTTTTCACTCTAATCAGAGATATAACAATCTTTAGTTAAAAAAAAACCAAACTCTTAGCTGGTGTTTTATCGTGCTGTCTTGTCTTCTATTAACCCACCACTACTGAATTATTAATATTATGTTGACTTTAGACTGCAAAGTTCTTAAACCAGGAGACAATATAAACAAGTTCAGAGCTTGTAAAGACCTGTGTATTTTGGGGATCTGTGAAAGGACATTCAAATCACTGAACACTAAAATACAAACCACACAAATAACAATATTTGGTCTGATATTTTTTTGAAATGTTGTGAATATACAGCAGTGTAACAAAAAGTTCCATTTAAGTGGCACATCTGAAAGCAGCAGGTCACTAATATGCTCCTGGAAAAGATACAAAGTTTGTCCATTCTAGATAGGATTGTGATCAAATAACTGCAAATCCGTTACTTTCATCCCATGTAGAAGGGCTCCTGTTACTTGCTAAATTTATTTTCCTGTTTGGACAGGAAATCATCTAGCTAACAATATCTCTGATTTTATTTAAATCATTTCTTATCAAAGTAATCTTCCAGAAGCAAAGGTGATCTTCCAAAAGACAGCAGCATTAGATTTATAAGTTTATGTTTCTTATACTTTCCAAGACTTCATCATGGAACCAGGTTTCAGTAAACATACTAGAGTTTTGCAACGCCTCAAAAAGACGCCTATAATCTTCTGGGTATAAGTCACGTGTTTCAGCATTTTTTGGAATTTCTAGCTCTCTCAGTAATTTGCCACCATTGTCCAAGCTCCACGAACTGAAACAAACAAACAAACAACATCAAAATGGAGCATTTCTTTCTGTGAAAAATTAAAGAGTAAGAAACAGTATCTGGAGGTCCATTTACTCTTTCTCAGCTTCTGGAAGTTAACATCTTCCTATAACACAAGTTATTTTCAGTCCATGCTGCAAACAGGAAGAAACCTCTGCTAATAAGACATGTAAATACCAAATAAAGCCCCCAACAGATATAGACAATACCAAACCACATAAGCCTCCCTATCAGAGGGCAGCTGCCCTCCATCCATCTTCCTCCCCAAATGCGTAAGTCCGTAACAGGCATTACGGCATAAAAAGGGATTATTCTTCAATGCCTGGGAAATTAAAGCCAAGATCATCTTCAAGATGACTCAGTACAGCATGAAATAGTGTGACTTAAACCTCCTAGGTATTTTGTTCTATAAAGAAATGTATCCACTGTCTCTCCATCTACATCATTGCTATGAAAACTAGACCTTTTATACATGTGCATATACATTAATTACTTCCCAGACAAGAAAAGGATGTACAAATACACAGAAGATGCACATTAGCAGCCTTCAAGGTTGGGTCCACTTCCTGGCCGAAGGACTTAGTGGAGATTAGGCACAATACTGAGTTTTAAGAAAGAAAACCATTAAGGCTCTTTGTACTTGTTTTTGCTAAGTGAGTTACTGGAATTGATTATCTCCCCCACCCCCCTTTCTGGAAATTAACTTCCATAAACTACTACCAGCAAATGAGAAATACATTAATTATTTTCATTAACAAGTTGAAGTCAATGCTTTCCAGACTGCAAATACTTCCCGTTTATGGGAAACAGAAATCTACTGATCATAAGCAAAATTAATAGCTCCAATGTAATACCAAAAAGAATAATTAAAGGGAGTTGCATAATTGGTAAGTAAGTCTAAAGCCTAGTTTTTTAATTAGATAAGAGAAAGCCATTTGAGGACATCTCCACTCCACCTTCAATAACCTTCAGCTGTTTTCATTAGCGTTACTTTGACATCTGTTATAAACAGAAACTCTTTTTCAGCTTTTAATTTCTATACCTGCAAAACTCTTGGTGACTTTATTATTAAAGTGAGTGAAAACTTCATGCAGATACATGACCTCACCTCCATTGGAGGTGCAGACAATTACTGCATGTCTACATTCTAAATACTTGTCTAGCTTCCTGTTAAACCTCAAGTTTTTATCATCTGTAAACACAGGCCATGAAGAGTCCCCAAAATATTGTATTGTGGATTGCAAAAATGAAATCTTCTATTCTACATGCAGATAATTATTTTTTTTAAAAAAAGCTATATTTCAGATTCAAATAAATACTGCTTTGAGAACAAATTTTAATATTTTCCTGTATTTCTCATAAGAAAAACTATAAAACCTGTAATTCTTTCTTACTTACTTTAATCTATCAGTAAGTCTAGACTTGGGTTTAGCAAGACACTGTTTCACCATGAAAATAAAGGTAGCTGAATTTGTGGGCTTCAAGCCTCCTGTAAATAGATTTTGATGAGGAGTCAGTCGTACCAAACATAAATGGTCATTTGGCAGCCACTGCAAGAAAAACAAAACAAGTCACTGAAAAGTCCTTTTTAAGACAGTGTCTGTCTTTAGCTAAGAGCAAGCATTTCATCTGTGCCACCAGTAACATTTCTTAAAGAGTTTTAGAAGTCTTAACAAGACAATTTCATTGGAAGCCAAGGCTTTAAAATTTTGTTCTAGAACGAAGATGCTTTACCTCCCCCACCCTCCCAAACAGGAAAGGAAATAGGAAAAAAACAAGACATACTATCACTTCAGTTTTATTTTCATCTTTTAAGACTTAACTTTCTTACTTGTAATAGACAATACAGGCTTGATGTGAGTTTTTGAGATTATATGGCCTATAATATTCCTATACTATACAAGGGATCAGATCAGATCACTTCAGCTACCTGCCTTTTGTATATAAAGACAGAATTATTTGAGTGTAACACGAAGACAATATTGCAACTTGAGGATTTTATGAAATTGGGAGGGAGCAGAGTCTTTAACCAAAATAAATGTATTTCTGTATTGGCAACAATGGGTATATCATCCAACAGATCTCACATTTGTACTTCTCCTAAGGCTGTCACAATACATCTTATATAATCTGCCTGATAAGCCTCTCTACGTGGCTTTACAGCAACACGCCTAAGTGTGTAAGGCACACCCAGTCACTTACATTCACTCACAGTCACTTACATTGTACAGTAACATTCCAAACAACACTCAGTTGTACTAACGTAGCAGCTTTCTGGGGAGGGTAAAATCAAATACTAAGTAAATAAGCTTTTTTATTATTGGTATTAAATAGAAATATTCTTATGTTATACAAAGGAACATCATTACTTCTCTAAAAGAGAAAAGTGAATAACTTAACATGGGGTATTTTTCCACTTCTCACTCACACTTCTCAGCAATTAACTAGCACACAGAATCTACACTGGACACGTGAATAACCATTGTAATCAAAACCAGCAGTAGTGATTGTGCTATTAATTGTGGTAACATTTGTTTTGTTCAAGCAAGTAGACGCGACCCTGTCAAGCCACTTCTTTTGAAAAAGACTTTACCTGTCCACATCCCTTTATGCTGTTTATTCACTATATTTTTTCCAGCATAGACAATAAAGATACTGCTTTATTTCAGTTTCTAAGCTAATAGCAATTCTTTACCCCACTTCTGATGCATCTACATGCTGCCTCTAAGTTTTAATTAGAAGAACACTTCTTAAAAACTGCACATGTAAATGCTGTTATAAAGATATTTTAACCTTTAGTTAGAAGTGGTTTAGCTGCATCTCCAAAAGAAGAAAAGTGCACATAACAATCTTACCATGCTTTTTGGTACTGCCAGTCCCCCGTTTTTCAAATTAGTTACAAATGATGACCAAGGTTCCTATAGGAGGGAGAAAATATATTGGAGAATTAATGTGCAGAGAAGAGAAGAGAAGAATAGACCATTTCAGTTGGAAGGGACCTACAACGATCATCTGGTCCAACTGCCTCGCCACTTCAGAGCTGACCAAGTTAAAGCATGTTATTAAGGGCATTGTCCAAATACCCCATAAACACTGACAGGCATGGGGCATCAACCACCTCTCTAGGAAGCCTGGTTCCAGTGTTTGACCACCCTCTCAGTAAAGAAAGGCTTCCTCATATCCAGTCTAAACCTTCCCTGGTGCAGCTTTGAACCATTCTCACGCGTCCTATCACAGGATACCAGGGAGAAGAGCTCAGGACCTCCCTCTCTGCTTCCCCTCTTCAGGAAGCTGTGGGAACAATGAGGTTGCCCCTCAGCCACCTTTTCTCCAAACTAGAGAAGCCCAAAGTCCTCAGCCACTCCTCATAGGACATTCCTTCTAGCCCTTTCACTGGCTTTGTTGCCCTCCTCTGGACACATTCAAGGACCTTAACATCCTTCTTAAATTGCAGCCCCAGAACTGCACACAGTGTTCAAGGCGAGACCGCACCAACGCTGAATACAGCAGGATAATCACCTCTTTAACTGGCTGGTTATACTGTGTTTGACGCACCCCAGGATGTGGTTTGCCCTCTTGGCTGCCCTGCTGTGAACAAGCACTTCCAGATCCCCTTCTGCAGGGCTGCTCTCCAGCCACTCCTCTCCCAATTCGTACTTGTGCCCAGCCTTACTCGGTCCCAGGTGCAGAATCCAGCATTTTGACTTGCTTAATTTCATCCCATTAATCACTGGCCAATGCTCCAATCTATCTAGATCCCTCTGCAAGACATCTTGTCCTTCAAAAGAGTCAACAGCACCTCCCAGCTTGCTATCACCAGCAAACTTGTTAATGGTACATTCCACTTCTGCATCCAGATCATTGACAAATATATTGAACAGAACTGGCCTTGGAGTTGAACCCTGAAGAATACTGCTGGTGACCAGTTGCCAGGCAAATGCAGCCCCATTCACTATAATCCTTTGAGCTCTGCCCTTCAGCCAGTTCTTTGTTCAGTGCACCGTGAACCGGCTCATCCCACAGTTGGACAGCTTGTCCAGAAGGATGTTGTGAGGTACAGTATCAAAAGACTTACTAAAATCCAGAAAAATTACATGCACTGCCTTCTCTCCATCCACTAGGCAAGTGACATCAAATTAATTAAACACAACTCTCACTTTGTGAAGCCATGTTGACTCTACCTGATGACTGTGTTATTCTTTAAATGCCTTTCAATAGTACCCAGTATAATCTTCTCAATAATTTTTCCAGGAACTGACGTTAGACTAACAGGTCTGTAGTCTCCTGGGTCTTCCCTCACACCCTTTTTGTAGATTGGAATAACACTGGCTAGCTTCCAGTCAGCAGGGACCTCCCCAGACTCCTAAGACCTTTGGTAGATGATCAAGAGAGGTCCTGCCATAACATCTGCTAGTTCCTTCAGTACTCCAGGATGAATCCCAACAGGCCCCATGGACTTGTGACCATTTAGCTGATACAGCTGGTCCCTTACAATTTCAGTGTCCACTGTTGCCACACTAGTGGTCATCCAACTCAGGGGACCAGGCAGCCCAAGGTCTATCAGTATTACTAAAGACTGAGGCAAAAAACCACACTGAATATCCCTGCTTTCTTCATCCCTATTAGTCAGATGACCATCCTCAACAAGAATCATCTTACTCTTCAACTCCTTAATATTTACCTTAATATATACCTTGTGGTATAAGGTATTTGGAAGGCAATAGATAGTGAAACTTTTAATTTTAGATTAGCAAAACATTTAAACTATGAAGGTAGGTTCACAAATAAAGATAAATCTAAAAAGCATAAAGTAAGTGAAAGTTGATGGCCATGTTCTCATGTGGAGGTGGGGGAACAACATAAAAAACTTTTTAAAACTAAACCATAGCATGTTTGACAAGGTAAGATAGTTATTGACTAGCAGGAGAAGTAGGCCTGCTTGGAACATAAAGGCACCAAGGCTCAAAAAAAGATTTATACTGAACACTGCTCAGGAAGTTGAAAGAATACATGACAGCAAAATGCAGACGATATAAGAAAGAGCAGACTACAACAGACAGGAAGAGCAGTCTTCTAGTCTCACACAACCCCTAGCAAGATGCAAAAGACTTACCTGTTGCACAAACATCTCTTTCTTATCTACCAGCTTCTGAGAATAAATGTTTTTGAGTACAGTGGCTTGTAATGAAAATACTGACAAAGTTAATAATGGTGCTGCTTAACTGAAAGAGTTTTCACACAAAACATGACTGCTTCAGGTTTTTACACCCAAAAGTTTTCAATGTTCTCCAGCTAATTTAAATGTCAAATTAGCTTCCAATTAATTTACAACAGTGAAACACTATAAACCCTTTTCTAAAATCATGTCCATAGCATTAGACAATGTCAGCTGGTACAAAAAACTTACCATATGCAGTAGCTGAATTTCACATCCTACTTGCCAAAGTACAGTAAGTGCTTGGTAAGCCCTTGCTTCCCCAGGCTTTGCTGTCAATACCTAACAAAATGGCAAAGAAAGAGCATTTTTGTTGCAAAAACTAAGATTGCTTATTTATCTAAGCAAAATTCTTATACATATAAAGTGGTAAGAAATTCATAGTTAAGTCTAATATTTCAAGGTAAAATTACATTAGGCCTCAAATACATACTTTGTACTATTTTAGTTTATCTTGTCAGAACACATAATTAGAAGACATTATGGCAGTCTAAGTATTTCTTCGCAGCAGTTATTTGGATAACTGAACTGTGTAGGAATTTCCAGTTTATACCTCTGGTCCCTTTTAAGGCAGAGAGGCTTCACACAGAAGAGAAACAGAGATCATATTTTGTACAAAAAGCCTAACATGGGCAGAGTTATCAGCTCGCACTGATAAGATAATATTTCCAAGAGGACACAGAAGCAGAGTAAGCCAAACATCAGGTGACCTCACTGAACATTAAGCAGCTTGCACAGTCATCATCCTGATCAATATTACAGCTCTTAGGGCAAGAAAAAAACCCCAAAAACTTGTGGTTATTCTCAAACAGGGCAAAGAAAGAAGTAAATTGTAGCAGGGAGATTTAACTTCTCATAATAGATTCAGAGAGTCTCGTCATATGATTGACAAAAAAAAAAAAAAAGGTTCCAATTGCTTTTACACAGCTCTCATCTAACGGGGTTCACAATAAAACCAGGAAAATTAATAAAAAACAAAGTGACTGCATTAAATGAATAGGCTGCCCCCTATTTGCTCAAAAATCTGGCCATTAAAAACATACCACTTAAGTGGATATTTCACTGGTGTCCAACCTGTCATTTTGTAAAAGAATATAATTAAGACTTCTTTTTTTTTTTTTCAGTAGGGCGTTAGACACAACAGAGGTTGTGTAAGCACAACTGCAAGTCTTTGGTTACTCCAGGTAATTAAAGGTTTGTGGCTCTGTAATAAACCTCACAATTTCACAGAAAGAAAAGGTACCCTTGAACTATAAGTACAGTTCTAGAGGTTTGGGACAGCATAAATAAGGAACATATAACCCAGAAAGCCGCTCTGCACCTTAGTGTACAGAACCTTAGTAAAAAGGTATGTAAATCACTCATATTTTGCCTGAGTTTTTTTTCAGTACTGCCTACAAAAGTGGCTCAAGAGGACAAGTGCATCTCACTGAGTATGGTATTTAGTAATTCTGAATCCTCTTCATGAGGCATTTTGAATTCAGTCTTCATTGACCATTATCTGCAACTAGTAAACAATTCACAGAATTTAAGCACCTTACAAGTTACAATGGAAACCAGCTAGTCTGCTGCTGCATATCCTTCTCAAGGACCAACCTTCACATTTGTAAGATTTGTAGTTATACAACAACAGAATGTTTCTTGACAGTGCTATTACTGCATAAGAACAAGTAGGAAACAGACAAGACTTAAAATTTCTGACAGAAAAAGAAATTCACTAGCAAAAACGTTAACCATACAATATAAATGTTTTTGTGTTCTATGAAGCACTACTAATTCTTTACTACCTGTAAAATCTCTTACACGTACCTTGTACTCTTTTTCACTTATAAAGATGTTGAGTTCTACTCTTCCATATTTGTATATGGAACTGCATTCATACAGGGCAAAAAGAAGCCTCCAAAGTGTGTTCCTTTCCTTTTTCTGTGGTAAGATTCCAAAAACTTTCACAGGTACATCTGTTTCAATAGTGTGTAAAAGTATCTTTAAGATGTTGCAATATGTACTAGACAATCTAATGCTAATGTCTAAACTACAAACAATTACAAAAAGAAAGTCTGTCAGCTCATGTTCTTCAAGAATGAACACAACACAACCTTCAGTCAAAGCTAAGCCCAGTTTGCATTAGACTAAACCTTTAATAAAGACAAGCAAATAGCAGAGATTGCATGTTGCCACAAGGGTTTTTTGAAGCTATCAAGAACATAGATAAAACTGAAATGTAGGAAATAATATCCATGAATCCAGCATATATATTAAATAGAACATATACCTCAAGCAAATCCCAAAGATTTTGCCAAACTGCCTATGCAGCCTTCAAATGTATTTGTAACACATTATCATATACATATACCTGCCCTCCAAGGAACTGCTGCTACACCCATGGTTTCAAAAAGTTTGTCAGAACACATAGCAGGTGGTTTCACTGTTCCAGTCACCAAAGGATCCAGTCTGAAGAAGTCACCGTAAATTACCTTTAATTGTCCATCCAGGCTATTCTCTAGGGACTGAATAAAATTAGTTTCAGTTGAAGAGATCTGGATGCAGGAACGTGTCTTGCAAAATACACAACCCAAACAATAAAAAAAAAATGTTCAAATGCTACTTAAAATTGTTACCCAGTCAACACGAGTCAAGTCTCCAAGCTGCTTCTTACAGCTGATAAAAAGAATTTTTTCCTTCATTGTGCAGGGCATTTTGATATTTTTGTGCTGCTCCACTGGAGCTTTAAAACACATTCTTAAATTAGTAAGATGTTCTGCAATGTTTTGCAAAAATGCTATGCTCAACAAGAAAACCACTGCATTTAATGATTTACAACTGGAATTCTTCATATATGCCTTTTATACACATTTTAAGCCAGGTAAGAATCTTTGGTTCCAAACTTCTGCTTTACAGCACTGTAGCACAATCTTTCCAGTGCAACTTCTGCAGCTCTGTGTCTGACCACCTTTGAATCCACACAAAGTCAGGGTGAACAGGAGAGGACAACACATGCAAGGGTCCTAATATTACCAGTCAATTGCAGGACAATAGATCAAATAATACCATGAGATAATCAGAATAACCAAGACTCTTTTTACAGATTTCTGAAAGCTACATACAGACATCTTGCTTAAACATACACAACTACAATGACTCTGATTAGTATTAGCCTCAAATTTATGCATGAAACTACTCATAGGAAGACTATGATCTTGAATTCCTGCATACACAAAATGTCAAATCAATTGATTGTAAAAGTCTTGTTGCTGGACATGCAATGTAAAACCAGACAATACTTACTATTATTAAGCAGTATTTCAGATTTTACAAGTAACGATCACTGGCTAATTCCTTTTTGATCCAACAGTTATTACACAATCATAAGTTTATTTCTTATTTTCCCTTTTATTAAGTTTTAGAAGTCTGCTACAAATCAAAAGTGTACCTGTAAGTTTGGAAGAAAAGCTGAGTTACTTTCTAGAGCTACCACTCTAACACCTGCATTGAGCAGAGTTCGGGTCAAGATTCCAGGACCTGAGGGGAAAAATAAAATAAAAAAAAATTTAAAAGTGCATTTTTTTCCAAGTGATTTCCTTTCCCAACACACCACTTGGGACATACTACCTTCAACAAGAGATAACTTGTGTTTGTTTAAACACACTTCAAAGCAAGAGTTAGAAAAAAGATTTACATGCAGCCTGCCTGAGATTGCTTAATGAATTACACTAAGTACAGCATTACTCTTACATACTGAAAAACATCAAATTTTTCAAACTATTTCTATTACTACTTCTGCCAACTGAAATATACTTTGAAACCTTATTCATATTATCTCTACAAGTAAAATATCTCTACAGAAATGTAAAAAACTCAACCCATTAAGTAACTGCAGAGGGCTAGCTACATAATGGCCCTCAGCCTCAGGCATGCTTTTACTGAGAGAGATAAAGTTTGTCTACAAACCCAAAAACATTACCTGGACAGAAATTTGCATCTCTACTTAGTCTATAGCAAAGTTTTAACACCACTGCCGACACAAGCCTCCAGACTGAGCACTCACTCATTCCTCCCAAAGCTCTGTATAAATGGACCCCCCCGCCGCCCGCCCTAGGCATACCGCAGTGTCGCGACACTCAGACGGCCCACCCGGTCGCCAACGCCCGCCCCGGGAAAACACCAGGGCG